TTGGAAATGTTACCATTCTCTGTTGGTTAATAGCAATTTTATTGTGAGAACAGACTTGTATAATAAAATCTGACATCATGTCATAATTCTAGGATGGATTAAATTATTACTTAAAAGCAATAGAAAACTGATCCCCCACTTTATATCCAGTAGAAACATTATTTAATGCAAATATATGTCTTGAAAATTTTCCTATTAAAGGTTGGCTGATACGAATTTTATTGTGAATACTTGCATAATAAAATCCGACATCATGTCATAATTCTAGGGTGGCTTAAATTATTACTTAATAACAATAGAATAGCAGTTCATGGTAAGAAGCTCTTCCAGTGAAACTTCCTCCTTGCAAATGGAATATGAAGGGAATGAGAGTTGTTCGCCTCAGTTTACATGGCATGATGGGTCTTAGCTGTCATAATTCTAGATAATTAAATCAATTTATTACTTAATAACAATAGAAAACTGATCCTCTGCTTTATATCCAATAGAAACATATTAATATTTAACATAAATATATGTCTTGAAAATCTTCTTATCATCGGCAGGTTAATAACAATTTTATTGTGAAAATATTGACTTGCATAATAAAATCTGACTTTGTGTCACTCCTGAAAACAGTAGCCCTATATTTTTAGGTAAACCTGCAAAATTTCACAAAATCAATAAATTCTACTTCTAAACACATTACTACGGGGCAATTTTTAGAAATTCTGCTCTGTGGTTGGGGAGTGGGGTATGAATCTATTCTGCCTGTAAAGCATGTATTAAGCAGTTATATTTTCTCAAAGTTTCCAAGCTAAAATTAGATATTAAATGATCAATTTTTTGGCTTATTAATAATGTATTTCATTTACTGAGGAGGCAGGGTTGAGTAATGGATAGAAACTTGAATTGAGGAATTGGAGAGCTGAGTTTGAATTCCAGTCGAGTACATTAGATTCACTTACATGCTAATACCCTTGGTAAAAGTATGAATCTTCTTCTGCCCCCAGCTCTGGGTAAATAGCAGGACAGACTGGGTTCTATAGCCTTGGACGGCAACTGGTCTACCTCAGAAAAAAATGGGAACCTACTCTGGGAAAAAATCTACCTTGTCACTCATGTATCGAAAGATACATGATCACCTGAGTGCGTATCATGCATGGCACATAACTGACTGATTTCATTTATTTACATGATAAGTAGATAATAGAAATTTTATGATCAACTTATTTTCTATATATGCTTTTAAAATCAAATGTATTGTCATGAATGCAAACATTAGGGACAAACAAAAATTTTGATGCATTTATTTAAAAAAAGATACTACCTGTGATATCATAAGTTTTATAAGCATTTCATTTATTCATCTTACAGAGATTTTATAGAAATCTTCAGAAGAAAATGTGAAATTTCTGTTACATTATAAGGTCCACTTGTTTCCCCCAAATCTCTAAAAGTCATCTTTGTTAGACTAACTAATCGCTTGATGATGCCAGAATGTAATATAAATGATTATAAATGACTGAATTATACCTACAAATCAAAATAATGTTAAAATATTATAAAATCACTTCAAAAATAAAACCTTGGTTTTGACACAGCTGATACTCAAGCTATCACATTAGACTTGCCTCAACACAATAACAATTTTTATGTTTCACCAGGGATTTCAATGGCTGAATAGTAGAATAAATTGTAATAAAAAACTCTGAAGTGACTTGGAGCTGCAATCCAAGCATCTTTCAGTTAAAAGCTGGTGGTGGATTCCTCAGACTCTTAGTGTTATTAACATATCACATGGTTCCAGTTATTAGGTGTTAGTATGGAAGCCCATACATAATATAATAATACATTCTTGTTTGACACACTAGTCTCCTGAGGACCCCTCAGAATAAAATATAAATGATTGAATTATAATTACAATTTTAATTGTTAAAAGATAAAAACTTCCTCTTCAATACACTCAATCCATGATGACTCCACAATTATAAATGATTATATGGGTATATTAAATACCTCAGGGAAATGTCTTGTATAGTGCACTACACCTTGGAATACGAGTAGACAAATCTTATTAGCCTTAGTTGGTGGTCTGTCTAGGACAGTGGTTCCCAAACAGTGCAGTGCACCTCAGAGGTGTGACAGAAAAAGATAGCAGGTGAGGCAGAATGATTGAAAGAAAATCAAAGATTTAGAAACAGTTTTTTAAAAATTCATATGCCAAAAATAAATATGATTTCAAAATTTAAAATATTATTATGGATTACTTGTAATTTCATTCATGAGTCCCAGTATAAATAGTTATAAATAATTATTGACCAATTTTATCATTGTGATGTTTTTGCATTATAACAAGTATTACGAATATAGTAACTTAGGTCTGGAAATTAGAAGAGACAGTTATCAATAATAGGGTTCTGACTTCGAATCCACAGTTATCTCTCTTTAACCCTCTCTCTGTTTTTTATTCTTAAATGTACTTTTTATCACATAAAATTTGGTGATGCTTGAGCAAATT